TCAAATTTCGAAATTTACACACTTTCTCAAATATCTCGAATACGGTCCATTTTAGAGAAATTATGTATAGGATAAAAATTAGAGAGAATTATATTACAAACAACTTTTGTTCGAACAATTTTTATAAAAAAATATTTTTTTACATTTTGTCAAATTTCTCGAATACGGACCATTTTAGGAAAATTTTGTATAGAACAAATATTATAGATAATAATATAAGAAGTAACTTTTACTTGAAGAATTTTCTTCCCCAAACGTAAATAACAGATATGTTCCATAAAATATAAAAATGACTACCTACAAAGTACCCCCCAGATGTTCCGACACTGCCCAAAATCTAGTCAGCACATTGGACGCTGGAACAGAGCTTAAGTTTGAAATTTGGTGTTTTTCTGTGTATCGGTTCATGAGTTATGCGACACACAGACACACACACAGACATCATCGCGAAATAGTCAAAACGGATTCAGGGGACCTCAAAACGTAAAAATCCATCGAAAACTCGAGGTCGAAAAAAATCATGATTTCTATACTTTCCTTATATCTGTATACAGATAGGAAAGTAAAAATGTGAAATGTGAATTTTCCAGATTTGTAGAAAAATTCGCTGATAAAATTTACCTTGTAAAAAAGTCGCCACCATCTTTCTTTAGTTTAATTAAAAATAAATTAGATTTTATTTTTGATGTTATCTGATATGAAGCTCGTAGGAAACTCCGATTCGCGTGGAAAATATTGTCGCACGAGGCACAAGCCGAGTGCGACTATCACACGAGTGTGGAAAATAACTTTTCACACAAGTGATGTACAATATTTTTCCTACGACCACAAAATAATTTCATAAAAAAATGTAAAACCAGGTTATTATAATAATTAAAAGGTATTTAAAAAAATAATCAACAATAATTGTATTTATTCCATTTTCATATTTTTCGAAACAAAAACAAAAAAAAAACAAAAAAAACAAAAAAAAACAAAAAAAAATAATGGTATCTATTATCTACTACCTCATCCATTACGACAACCTGCATTTTCTTTTTTTTTTAATTTGAAAGAATTAAAATATCTCTATTCCTTTTTAAAATATCCAACTTTGGAGTTTTTATTGGTTACCCCTGTACAAATGGAGAATAAATAAATATTATAAAATCAAATCATTTTTGTTTTTACATAATGTATTTTCATTTACTGAGGATATCGACATATCGAATTTTTATTTTAAGCAAGTCCGATCGACCGAATCCTATTTAGATAAATTAAATTTTTGGAAAATATCCAAGACTGTAAATTTTAAAATGTCGATAAATCAGCTGTGGTTTGATTTTATAACGATCGATTATTAGGTGTAAAAGTTAAAGGAAAAATATGTTTTACAAAATTATTTTACGCGTGTTTCAATAGAGTTTTATTATAATTTTAATTTAGAAATAAGGCATTTGTAATTTCCAATAAAAAAAAAAGAAATCTAAATCAACGATGAGTTAAATTTTCCAAAATTTTGAAAAATTATTACATTAAAATTTAAGAAACCGCAAAATACTTAAATTTGGTCTTCTTTCTTCTCTTGTTTTTCCACTACTATCTGTTCTGTTCCGCTCTGTTGTCTATTGTTTGTTGTTTCTATGTCCCCTCTTTATCCTTTCTGATACTCAAATATCTTTCGCCTGTTGGTGTTTACTTGTCCTCGTTTAGCTACTCATTACAACAGGCCACTGCGCAGGTGCACTCTAATTGCCAATGATAATGTTTTGTTACACATTTTTATTAACCAGCACAAAAAACAGACAAAAAATACTAATCATATTGTCATGAAATTCCTAAAGCCTGTTCATAATAATTGAAGGAGGTAATTGCTAGGCTCATAATATGACTTAAAGTTCATTTAAACGTGTGTCATAAATTGCTTTGTTTCGAAGATACAAGGTATCCAAATTTTCAGGCCCATTCTCGAATATGTGATGAGGAATATGAAGCGAACGTTTAACAAAAATGACTTTTTTATTAAGATTATCAGCATAAGTTATGTTAGCAAATTTTCAGAAAATTTCAAGTCATTATATTTTTTGGATCGAAGACCCATTATTGGCATGCAATCAAACAGTTTTTATTTCTCTCGATATCACGAAAAATAGAGAAAGTTTAAGAGACAGAAAGATATATGAAAAGGTCAGTGGCGTACTTTTTTTCCAAAAATATCAATTAAGTTGCCACTGGAATTAATAATTCAGATAAAACTAGGTCAAAATTAGTCTCTTACTGCAGCAAATGAATCTGCCAAGTTTCATCAAAATCGGTCGAATATTGTTCATGATATGAATGAAAAATTGATTATTTTTAAAATTTGAACAAACTGTATCTTTGAAACAAAGCAATTTAGGACACATGTATATATAAACTTTAAAGGTCTATCCACATTAGCTGGACAAGGTACGGTCAAGTCACGGTCCGGTCACGATCAAATCTTTTTGAAAGCATTCACATTATCGGGTAATGTCATCGTCATATTCGACCAGTTTTTACAACATACAGGGGGCAATCGTAAATAAGTGTTTTTCTAAGTATTTTTGCTTGTATCATCGCGATCTTAAAAAATGTTTTCAACTTCATTTATTAAAATCGCACTTATTTTGGATGCGGAAGAAGAAAAACAAAAATAAATAAAACATAAAAAAACAATATTTTGAGTACTTCCAATGCTAAAAAAAAAAAGAACAATCAAAGGCAAAATTTTTACGATGCATAAAAAACTTATGGATGATGAAACAAAATTTTTTGAAGAATTTCAAAACAAATTTTTGAGCTATAAAGATGAACTTTAAAAAAAAGGTACCACATTTAGGGAATCGATTTCCCCAGCTCAAAAACTTTCAGTATGTTTTACATCGTTTTTAGAAGAAATTTTTTTTAAAACAGCCATTTTAAAGAAAATTTAACACCTGTAATTTTGAACCAATCAAAATACGTGTTTTTGACAGATCACCATGGCAACGAAGGTATTTTAGTGGAAATTTTTTTCTCGTGGGGTACGCAACAGCGAATTATACTGGAAATTTTTTGACGTTTACAATAACAGACCATTTTTGACAGACTGGTTTTTATTTGTTCACATAATAGGTTTAGTTTTGATACATTTTAGTTACAATGCTAAGGTGTTTTCTATATTCTTCGGCCACTTCTTTTCTTCTTAATGGCGAAAATGTAGGACTTTGAATGCTTTGGATTATGTGTCTATGTCTAATAAAATATATACAATATTTAGACACTAATTTATTCACCTTTTTCCCATTCAGCACTTTGAATTTTGCGTAGTTTAGGTGCAAATATTCGTGGACAATTCGGAACAAATTTTCGTTTTTCAAGTTGGAGCCACAATCCTCTATTAATCCGAGTAAGTAAGTCATGGTGCAATGATTGATCATTACATCAGACAATTTCACGCATATTTTGCATAGCGTATGATTTTCAAATCGATTCATTTTTAAACAAATAAGTAATTTTGTTGGTTTTACTTGCTGTGCAATATTCTTTATCGCAACAAAACGCGAGTTATTTAATGTTTTGAACTGTCAAAATACAATGATCACAGCCTCCTACGATTGATGCTTGCTGGCGCTGGTTATGAATTTCATACCATTTTAAAGCGCTCATAACGCATGTTAATAAAAACGCAGAAAAACAATTTTCTACCACTTGTAGTTATTCAAAACTTACGTAAAATTAAAGAATATACTATTTTCTATTTTCAAATGGTATTCCCATGCAACTACAATGAGTAGAAATAAGCAATTTGAAGGCCTAAATAATTGCAGCGAAACATTTTTTTACGTCGGGCCGCTTGACAACTTCAAAACTGAAATTATATTCGAGGTTAGGGTCTCACTTAGTTACCATGACAACTCAACAATCAAGGCGACAACACCTTTTATGTTTCACTGGTGACTTGGAGAAAATAATTTGCATTGTTGAGAAACGAAAAATAAATTTTAAAAATATTTAATTTTCAACCATAATTCGGCGTGGAATTTTCTTACCGAATACCACGCGAGGTCAAATTAATATCAGGAAATTTTTTGACCTCTAGTGGTATTACTAGTGAAAATCTAAACATATACAGTGATTACTCTGTCCTTTTCGATACTACCGACAGCCGACAGTCCGCTTTTTTGTCTGACTAATTGGTCATTGAGGATCCATACTATACGGTACAGTCACGGTACGGTCAAATATTGTTGGAAATGATCGACCCGTAAGTTGACCGTGACTTGCTTGTTCGATGACCGGCATGTGTGAACGATTTAAAAGAAATCTCATTTAAAAGCATTCACATTATGACAAATCATTTTTGATCGGACTGTGACTGGACCGTAACTTGATCGTGGCTTGACCTATAGTGAGAATAGACCTTTAGTCAAAAATTGTGCCAAGGAATTACGTCCTTCAATTATAACATGATGTTTAGGAACACCCTATATATGTAAATTAAAAATAAATTGAAAAACATTCCCCACTCGACCATTCACTGTTGGGTTCTAATTAACAGTGCTGTTCCTAAAGTGGCGCTGGGAAACAGTAACAAAGCCTACACAGAACACGAGGCGAAATAACCTTAGCAGTTGAAGCCGGTAACACACACAAAAAAAAACAGTGGGATGATAAAAGGACCACACTAAACACAAACGAACTACACAAAATAGGATAATAAATAAACTAGGAAAGCAAAATTAATAAATTCAAATGAGAACAACGAATGACAACACGTTGACTTTTTGGGTTTACTATACTTTATTTCTTGTATCGATTTTAGCTTTTATTTGGTACGCGTTTTTCAAATTTTGTTTAAAATCCTTAAATAATATTGCTATAAATAAAATATTACAAATATAGGTATCTTGTATTACTAATATTCATTTTGTAAATAAAATTATATGTTAAATTGTATTAATTATATTGATATACGTTAGTCGCCTTTATATGTATTTCTGTTTTGTATTAGGTATTTTTTAGTATTTTACAAGACTTTGAACATATCTGTCCGATGTAAGTAGTAATAATCGGTGTTCTAAAGGTGTCAGATCTTTTTCAGTTTGTTTTGATTCGGGACCAGTAGATTGAAATTCAATTATTCTTGATCTTTTTCTTGCTGTTGCTTTTAATTCGTTTAAAGTCTACAATAAAAAAAGTAGTCTAAGAATAACAGATTGTATATAACTGGACCATATTTATATTTTATAATTTCTAAACCATAATCTAACTATTAAATGGTGGAAGTATTTTTTTGTGAAATTAAAAAATATACAGGATTAGTAAATAGATTTGTTCCCGAAGCCAGTTACAAACTTGTTACAAACATTATCTGATACGCATGCGTGAGCAGAATAATGTTTGGAATGAGTTCTGAATAAATGTGCTGGAACGTTAAAAAAATTAATGTTGCTGAGTGTTTTAACTAAATACAGGTCATTCGATTATATTTATTAAAAAAAGAAGATTTTGAGGTTATACTTTAGGATCAATTCAAAATTGCACAAATAAAAACAACCCTCATTATATTTTTTACTGTTACAACGATGTATAAGATTTTATTCAAAATTAAAGATAATAGGCACTCACAAAACTAACCAAAAATCCAATTGAAAACAAAGGAGAAAAAGAAGTTAAATTATTTTAAAGGTTCGTTCCAACATAATAGCAAATCGGTTTACGTACTGTCGGGATTCTGCGCAGTCTAGATTTGGTGTTTCAACAAACTTCGGACTCAGAACTGTACAAAAAGCTAGTGTTCCAACACACCCAAACCTAATCACAAACCAGTTTTTGTACTGCCAAATCAGTTCCTGGGTCTGAATATGAACGAATTGTCAAGACATGCGCAAAACGAAAGTGAGCTCCTAAATAAACCACGACCAACTCTGGAAATTTATTTATTATATTTGTTTTGATAGCATCGATTGTAGTCTTGATCCAAGGATTATATTACTATTATCGATCGTAATTTAGTTTTCATTCATTATCATTATTTATAATCTATTATTGTATACGTGTATCCCTTGACTTATTATTAATGAGTTTTGGTGTGAAGAAAGTGAAAAGGACTATTATTCTGACTTAAATATAGTACAAAACTAAAATAAATAAAGTTTAATGTACTAACCAATAGATTAATCAAAATGTATAAATATTTTAATGAGTTTTATAATTTTTTATTTTCCAAATTCAAAATTTATCATTTGTTAAATTTGCATTGACTTTTTTGACGTTATTAACAGAGTGTGTTAGACAACACAAAAATGTGTTCCAACACATTCAAGTTCCGAATCGCGTCCCAATCCTCGACAGGTCGTAGACAGGTCGTCGACTATCAGTAGTCGACAATAAGTTGTGAACTGGTTTATGTATGGTCCCAAGATTGTTGATGGAACAAACTACAACTAATAACAGACATGTTATGAACAAGTTTTCAATCTTGCGAAAACGCCAAACAAGTTCAATTTGTTTGGAATTTTGCTCTGCTGGAACAGTTATTTTGTACTGCGCATAATCAATATGTTAGGAACTCGCTTCGGGAACAAACCTTATAGGTATGTTTGGTTAAATCAACTTAGAGGGAAAGCCCACTCACGCGACATGTCGCGCGCGACTGATCGCGCGCGGCAATACTTTTGATGTTTTTAAATGACTCAAAGCCCATTAACGCGGTTCTGTCGCGTGGTCATTTAAAAACAACAAAAGTATTGCCGCGCGTGACATGTCGCGTGAGTGTAGTAGCTCCATGTACACGCAATTTCTGGACACACTGTATATAAATAATATAGAGGAAATAATTGAAAATGTGGGTGTAGTTGTAATCACTACATCCCTTATGTACCTTTTGCATAGCCTTTCCAATGTCTTCATGGAAAACAATGTCAGGCTAATTGGTATGTTTTTGGGACAGTGTAATCCATCCTTTCAGATTTGGGTATAAAGACTGCCTTTACCTCTCTCCATTTTTCGGGGATATACCTCAAAGTCAATGAGGATCTGAATATACCTACCAAGTGCTGTGTGAGTTCTTCCAGACTCCACTGAAGTGGGGCTAGAAATATACCGTCAGGTTCTGGCGATTTAAATGGAGAGAAGCTAGATATTGCCCATCTAATTTTGTCATCGTCTACAATGTGTTTGGCAATTTGCCAATCGTAGATAGATATCTGTAATGAGCGAGTCAGGGAAGGTTGATACTATCTTCCAGGTTTGCAGTTTTCATGCCATCCTCTTTAATAAGCGCACTAATACTGCGGTGTGGATCTTTTGAGAGAGCCTTTTAAAACCTCACTGTCTGCGAAAAATCTTCGATTTCTTCGCAGTAGGATCTCTATGCGTCTCTCTATTTTTGTCTAACGATTTTTTTGTATTCTCTGAGGTGAGATTTGTAAGTATCCCAGTCCTCTTTGAGTTTTGTAGTTCTTGCCTTGTTAAAAGATTTCTTAGCTATCTTCTTGGGGTGATCCAAATCGTGACACCACCATGCGGTAGTCGTCTGATCGTGTTGGACCAGCCTCAGGGGGCAGGATTTCTTAAAGGCATTGTTTATTGTGCTTTGGATAGTGTTTGAGTACTTTTCCAAAGCACTGTTATTGTTTGGTGTTTCGGCCTCCACCTCTCTCAAAGCCTCTTGGAGAAGGTAAGCATAGGTTGCCATGTCCGTCTTTCTAGAGTTTCGAAATAACGTGGGGGTCGGCAACATCAAGTTTATTTTGAATGTTAACCAGCGGTGGTCTGACATCGAAATGTCATCAGACACTTGCCAGTTTAAAATTGATTTATAGATACCAGTTGTGGATAAAGTGGATAAAGACTTTATCCAATTGTGTCTACAATTACGAGTGGTTGAAAATTAAAAATTTTTCTAGGATAACGATCATAACCACCTGTATGCCAGAAGGTTTCAATTAGAGATTTCACATATTTTAAAACCGTTTTAAACAATCACCAAATAAAATTATTGGCGCTAGAAGAAGAAAACTGATTTCTTTTACGGAGGTAAAAATTTTAGACACATTATTTTTGGACAGCAGAAAGTTTTTCACTATAACTATCTACGTAAGAAATATAATTTTCATTTCATAAAAAACTCCGATCCTTGATCAAAAAGTTCAGTTTTCCGCAGATACCCCATGTTGCATTGATGCCCTATGTTCCATATATGTCTCATGTTCCATTGAACACTGACAGTATAAGTGCCAAGATTATACTTTCAGCTAGTAGTATTTACATTATTCTTTTTGATATTGGGTAAAATTGCCGTTAAATTTTTTCTATTCGCTTGCAGCCTATATCATTTAATTTTATGTTTCGGACTGCCCTAGTATTCTATTCCTTCTCCAGGATACCTGGCTCAAGTGTGACGTCATTTTGCCACCACTTGAGGATTCCTTACCCAACTCATTCACCGCACGACTTAAGGTGTTTGTAGTACTCTCCTTGCAATCACCCATCCAAGACTTGACCGGAGACTGACTGCCTAACAGCAGCAAGAACGTGGCCCTTCTCTTCAGTCAATATTAAAACCAAGTTTATTTGGAATACATAGATAAAATTTTATATCCGACATGAAAATGAAAATCACACGATTTAATGCAAGATAAAGTTTTGTATGTATCTGAAAAATGTTGTCATAACTTAGTGACTTTTTGACGTTAATTATTTTAATCATTGATTTTTATTTTAAATATATGTTCAATTCCATTGTAATCAATAAATGTTAAACGTTGGATTCACAACTTAAAATAGAATACGTACTTCCTTCCACTGGTGTACCGTCTTTTTTGGTCCCGCCTTAGAATTGAGTAATATCATTAACTCTCTCCAAGTTTTATTACATTTTTCTAAATCACCGGGTTTTTTTCGTGGATTTACCAGAAAATCATGGTCCTCTAAGAAGTGTACGAGGCATTCTTTTTGCATCTGACTGATAATGTGCGTCCTGGGATTCATGTTCATATCTGTATTTTTAAATTTTGTTAAACAAAATCGTGACAGATAAGAAATGTCAAAATTACCCAGGGTAATTTAAAGGTAGGTGAGCTACACGGTTCGTAGAGTGAAACAGTGACCTTATAACAGTTGCTATCAATGTGACGTCACAGAATGAAAAATCGAGTTGACAGAAAATATTCTGCTGTTTCATACAATGGTTTTTTAAAAAGTCTACTATTTTATTAATATTAAGTGGTGTTAATATTTTTATTTTTTGTACTACAAAACAGCAAGGCAAAATCATGTAATGATTTCCATTAAATATAAAATAAATTCGAGAGACGCTAAAATGGTGGTTCCCACCTTATCGAGACTGAGGCCCACAAGGCTAAACTCGTAGCCTAACAAAAACGAGAAATGATTTAACTTGGAACGAAAGACCGAAAGCCGATAGTAGTATTAGGACGTTGAATTTGTTGGTTTGTGAAGCATTGGCATTAATTAGGTTAAACCATGTGATGATTTTCATAAGCCTTGATTTTTAAAACCATTCTATATCGCCTTTTGATTAGGGTTTACAAACTTGTTTGAGCAATTTATCCAATAATAATTGGCCCCTTTACCTCTTAAGCCTGCTCATGTAAAATATTTGGGCTCCTTACTTCGCCTGTTTATATAATATTAATAAAGGACAGAAGGATGAGTATTGCAACTATTTTAAAAGAAATAAAATGGCTTTCAGTTCAGAATTATGTTCAGTACATGACTGATATTTATTTATAAAATAAAAATGACATAATACTATCGCATCAGATCTATTAGAAAAAATTCAATATAATTCGAAATATCACAACTAAAATACAAGAAGCCAATCTGACTTTCATGTATGGCAAGCCATCACTAAACGTTCCCAAAATACAATTTTTATTTAAAGGTTTAAAAAATTTAACAGACTGCCTACAGAAATTAAAAAAAAAAACAATAAATGTATTCAAAGTAACCTCAAACAATACTTAATAAATAAACATAACGGATATACTTTCTTGTGATAATACTCTTTAAACCTGCCCTTTTTAAGTATTTCCATTTATTGTTATTTTACCCATCGTTTTACCCGCATTTATTATAAATTATTTCTATTTTAAGATCATGTACTTTATTTTAAAAAATTACTTGATGTTATAATAATACTACTTACTATGTTTAAATTATTAATAGTTTTGCGACGATGGGTTATAGCAACTTATAACCACAAAACTATTTTTGTGTTAAAGTAGATCCATAGAAAGCAATGTAATTTACAAAGGCCTTCTTTCAACATACCAATAAATGACAACTTTATAATTAAAATAAAAAACAACAAAATACCTCAGTACCAAGTTAAGAAGATTCATTTTTAAATTTTATTTATTGAGGAAATTCGTGACTAGAAGTTTACTATTTTATTATTTACAATTCGCTGGTTGAATAAGTAATCCAAAATCGTATAATAAAATTTTTTTACAAAAAAACCAGCATTTTATCCTACCTGTGTATAAGAACATTATATTATCTATCTTGCTGTACCTTTATGGAAAGCCTGAATTGAGATATACTACAAATTATTTGTAATAAATATCAAAAGAAGTATACATTTTTAAATAATTTGACATTTAAGAGCCATTCACACATCACAGTTGACATCTTGATACTTGACAGGCACAGTCAAGCATTATTCTGATTTTTGCACATACTTTGATTTTGATTTTTGCCAAATAAAATGGCCGGTTAATTATTCTATGGGGTTGCCACAGAGAGCCAATACATTTCATAAAGGTGTTTTTGTGGCTAGGGGCGAAATAGTAGTACGCTTAAGTTTATGGTGCTAAAAAGTCAGAAATGACATATATTTTTCATAAATTGGCAGGCTTGACTACTAATTTCGAATAAAAATAGCCTCCAAAAAGGCTATGATTGCAAGTATGGAGGTCGCAACCCGCCTTAGAAATTTCACCTTTACTATCAACAGCTGTTGTTTGACAGGTCGTTAGAGAATGCAATTTATGGAATTTTAAGAATGTTAGGAATGTTGACTTAAAAATAATTGAAATTCCTAAAATTGTATCATAAGAAATCACATACTTTGATTTTCTTTTACTATACGGAGAATGGTCGCACTGCGCAGCTTTCTGAGTGCCTTTTAAAAGGAGATAGAAAACTCCGCCATTTTGAACCCTTATTACGTGTTGCCTACTTCTTGGCGCAATATTTTTATTAGGTGCGTTTCAATCATTCGCTTCTGCTTCGGAATTGTCAGTTTTCTTCCGGAAGCAGAAGCGGATGATTAAAACGCACCTGATATTTTGCTTGCTGCTGTCAGTGTCAGTGAATATTATTTTTGAAGTCACAGGTCATAGTCATAGGAAGGGCCTCAGTAATTACTTTTTATTTGAATTATAAAGAGCAATATTATTGCGTACATGGTTTATTTTAAACATTTTCGGTTAGGGTATGGCCTCCGGGCCAAACTGAGATCACACTTTGTTTATACCCTGAAATATTTTGAAATGTTAGCAAGCCTGGAGCGAGCTGTAATCTTTCTGTTGGCAAACAATTTTTACAAACAAAAATCATTAGAGGAAAGGGACTGAGCCTAAACAGAAATGAATGTTTTAACCTGTCAGATTAAAACAAGAAGCAGAAGCGGATGATTAAAACGCACCTATTAAAAATATTGCGCCAAGATGTAGGCAACACGTAATAAGGGATCAAAATGGAGGAGTTTTCTATCTCCTTTTAAAAGGCACTCAGAAAGCTGTGCAGTGCGACCATTCTCCGTATAGTAAAAGAAAATCAAAGTATGTGCATGTTCCCCATTCCTTCGGTCTGTCTGTCGGCATCTGTCGTCCTCGTCGTCTGTCGTCGTCGTCGTCTAGCGTCTGGCGTCTGACATCTATCGTCTGTCTGTTGGCGCGATAGCTCAAAAACGACTTTAGAGAAAAACTACGAATGCTGCGTTTGAAAACTACCTCGTTTTGCTCTTTTTACTCGAAGCCGTTCTTTTAATACATCTGTGGCTACTCGATGGGATCTGCTCCGTGGTCTTTTAATGCAGAGCTGGTAAGTCGAGTAAGATCTATTTATTCCGAATTAAATTTTAGAGCTTTCGGAGTAAATGTAATTTCTGTGACAATTGACAAAGTAGATGTACTTCTCTGAGATATAGAGACGTCGTTCGTTGTCTCTTGTGTTGCAGTTTATTTTTTTCATGTTTTTGTTTTTAAAAAAAAAATACTATTAAAAAATATCAGACAGAAATGAGAACATGGTTTGTTTATTTTATAGTAAAAGCAAAAAACGAAAATACCACAGCTAAAAATTAACTTTACTTTGCAACTTACAACAAAAACCACGAGACGAGAGATCAAATTTGATTGAAAGAAAGGTTTAAGTTTGTTATTTTAATGAAAACCGGAAACGAGAAACGCAAACAAATCCATAGCCGTTCTTTTATTCCATATAAGCTCGATTTGATCACGTGTCTAAAAAATCTACTAGCTCTGCTCCGCTCCGGGAGGTACTTTTCAAACGTAGCAGAAGACTAAAGAGAAGGAGGCGAATCGGCAATGGTCAAATTTCATTCCTTCTTTTTATAAAGTTCGCCAAATTGACTGTAGTTGACAGGTCGAACGTCACTGCCGTTCATTTTCGATGTAAGTCAATGTAAAATAAAGTGATTTTTAAAGAAATTGATGAAAAGAATCAAAATAATGTGAGTACCAGTAACATGAGTGACAAAAAACATCAAAGCAAGATTTACTTTGTTCCAGATTGTAAAACAGGATACAAATCAGATGTAAAAGAAAACACAAGGAGAAATAAAATAAATGTCTTTTTAAACTAGTTAGTAAGTAAAATCAGCAGTAAATTAGCCAACAAATGTATATATTTTAAAACAGTGACTTCTTGCACACCTTTCGTATATATGAACAGGCTGGAGGAATTTCGGAAGAGTAATTTGAAATGACGACCTATATTGAAGAAAATATATTTCTACTGAAATTCGTATGAAGCAAATATTTATGAATTAATTCAAACAAATTAATTGAATTTATTTCAGCTGTATGCAAAATAATTAATCGAAATCTATTTATTTTTCGAGCAAACATTTAGGTTTTAATAATACATTTAGCATTATTTACTGGTAGGTATGCATGGTATTACATGTCACATTTAATCTATATTAGAATTTTAAAACGGAGACAATTTGAAGAGGATTGAAAAGTAAATCGATGTTGAGTAGAATTAAAGAACATTTACGAGTGGCTCTTGGAGATAACACATGATAAATTCGATTTTTTTTAACATAAACATTTTCCGACCCCATTCGGGTCATTCAAGCCAATATGTTTTTCGGACTAGTGACAATGTAGGTCACAGAGCATGTATCTTCTAGAGACCCCACGTCAATGGTAGACTTTTAAACCAAATTAGCGCCACCTTGAGTTTGGAGCAGGAACTAAAATGACAATTGACAGATGGCGGTAAATTCAAATTATAATTTTTAGTAGTAGATAATAGTTCTAAATTAAATTAAATAAATTATTTTATAAAATAAAGTATGGCACTAGTAAGTTCGAAACTTTTATTTTACAAAATAATTTAGGTGGATATGCCAAATTTAAGGAATTAATTTGTTATAATGGGTCTAATTTGGAGAGTTGGTTCTGCATATTATTATTAAATAAATTATAAGATATATCAATAAATAATAAATAGTACATTCTTAAAATATGTTTATTAATAACTTAAATAAATATTATTAGAACAAAACAAATACAAATAATAATAATACATATTTAACGAATACTTACTTGGACCAAATCTTTAAAATATCAATATATTGAAATGTGAAGTAGAAACTAGGATATAACATTTTATTAACACTAAAGTTTTATTTTATAAATGTCTTTTTACCTGAAGGATAAATGTAATATAGATATTGGATTAAAAGGTGAATCCTCTCTGTATCTGTAACGTGTGGA